AGAGGAAAAAACGATCGTTTTTTTGGGTAAAAAAGTGCTGAAAATCGACTAAAAAAATGCCGATAATAGAGAAAAAACGATCGTTTTTTCATCTTCAGTCAGGGAACAAGATGTAAAGTGCGCCACCAAGGGTATTTTCTTTTTCTGCAGAAAGAAATAGATTCCCTCACACATGTGATTGTTGACAGAAGTCGCGGACAATTTGGTCGTAGGGGGACATGTTTTTATTTGGTTCTTTTCAGATAATAAACAATGTTTTAAATACGATAACAATAGAGTACTATGAAGAAAAATAATAGGTTTACAACCTACGCTTCAATTGGCAGATGTTTTAGGCCTAGCCTAGTACTACCTAACTAGGCCTAGGCTAGACCCGCCTAGCTAGTAGTATGGCTAGGCCTACCTGGCCTAGGCCTAGCATTGTAGCAGTTAGCCTACGGAAGGACAATGCTTATTAAAATAAATATTGTACAAACAAATCTTTTATGTAAAATTTGTGTCTGATATAGCCTTTGTAACAGATTTGGCTTGGCACCAATGCAGATTTCAAAATCTCAAGGCCTAAGAAGCCTACACAGCCAGTAAAAAAAAAAAAAAAAATATCCACCCCCCCGCCCCTGAAAATTTCTGAGGGTGTGGCGCTAAACAAGTATATTTTTTTTTTGCCTTATAGAGCGTGCAACGAAACCTTGAAACTTATTGTACTGCGATGACGTCACAGCCATACTAAAGCTTCAATGAACATCGCAAGTGGGCGGGGCTTAGATTAAAATATTCAAAATAATTTTAAAATATTTCTGTTTAAAAATATTAATAACTTATACCACGTATGTGTTTTTTTTAATTCTTTCATAATCAGGAATTCAAATGACTATCTTTCTTATTCTTTAAAGAGAAGAGGAATATGTTGGAGTGAAACAAGTTGACCCAATCGAATATACAGTATAAGTCTAAATATCTTTCTCTTCATAATGCCTGTTTTCCATTTTAATGTAATTGCCCACATTTTCATAAGCTATTCCAAATAAAAAAAAGTTGTATTCACATATCCTATAATATTTGGCGAAGTCAAAAAAAAAATACCTTGATTGATTGATTGACTTAATTTTTAATTTAATTTTTATTTTAATTTTTTAGTAGATATTTGTGGAATGTTTTACTTAAGAACATTCTTAAGGTTTAAAGTAAATTGAAATTGAAAAAACTTATTTGATTTACACTTAGGTCTAATATTAATTCTGAACTATTCCTCTAAGGGACTAGAACGTCATTATCCTTTTAAGAGGTGTGCGTTCGAATTTTGTCTACATATCCAGTCAGTCACACACAAAAAAACCTCTTCCCGATACAGAATTTCTTTTTAACGTAGCTTAATAGCTTAACGCTATATGCCTATACGCATTTCCTTCTCAATCTGGTAACCTGACGATAACCTCTTCTTCCTAATATTTCTGTATACCCACAATACGGTACTGTACTTAAATTCGAAATGATGTCAGCTCTGTGCGTACATAGTGTAGGTGTTAATAAGTCAGAGCAGGGAACAGTGTAATTTAACTGTTCCCTGTTCAGGATCAGAGTGAAGACTTTTCCATTTATTATGACAAAAAAAAAATAAATAAATAAAACAACAAAAACAAATATAACAACTAAATGATGCACTTGTAAACAATATTAGTAATTCCAATGAAAACACTGAGGCAGAAATTGAAAAAAAAAAAAAAAATATTGGAGATATTTATAAGAACTAAACAAAAAGTGCATACTGTACAAACGTTCAAGAGTAAAATGGATGGAAGAAGGCGAACGTAGCACTAAATATTTTCTCAGTTTAGAAAAACATAAAAAAACATATCAAAATTATACAAACACAGATGGTGTAGTGTTAACAGACACAAAAGAAATTCTACGAGAAGAAGTCAAGTTCTATAAATATCTAATGCAAATAAGAGGTAGGCCTATCCCTTAAGGAAATAACACTTGTCTGGATAGATTTAAAAGTAAAATGTTTAACTGAGGAAGAAAATGATGTCTGTGAAGGCATCGTGACGATAAAAGAATGAGACGAAGCAATACGAAACATGAAATTAAATAAAGCTTCCGGATGTGACGGACTGGCCGTTGGGTTTTGTATTTATTTTTGGAAAGAAATTATTTCTGATCTTTTATTACAAAACAGTAAAACATTTACAGATTGGATTGGTCATAGCAGTATATTATTATTATTATTATTATTATTATTATTATTATTATTATTATTATTATTATTATTATTGTATACTTATATAGCGCATATCAAACTTCTCTATGCGCTGAAACATCAACTAAAAAATAAACAAAAAACCAAAGAGAGCATTGAAGAGAGAAAGCAGAAGAAAAGAGGTGTGTCTTCAAACGCGACTTGAAAAGTGTAACATTATCGTCCTCACGGACAAGCTGTGGAAGACTGTTCCAGAGAGATGGAGCTGATATTGAAAATGCACTGTCACCATAGGTGCTAGTACATGTTCGTGGTTTATGTAATAGATGATGTGATGATGATCGGAGGGTCCTTGTAATTTTACGATCACTAATAAGGTTTGTTATGTAAGAGGGTGAATTATGTGATCCACATTTATAAGTGATAAGGAGGATTATGAAACCTATCCTTTGCTGCACAGGGAGCCAGTGAAGATGTTTTAACACTGGGATGATGTGTTCGTGCCGTTTAATCCTAGTAACAAGTCTGGCAGCAGTATTTTGTATACGCTGTAATTTTGCATTCTCTGATTTTGGAAGGCCATACAATAGACTGTTACAGTAATCCAGACGAGATGTTACAAATGCACAGAGCAGTTTTACTGTACATTCCTTATCTAGGAACTTCCTGATAGAGCTGATTTTACGAAGTGCCCCCCAGGAAGCTTGACAGATGAAGTTAACCTGTGAAGTCATCTGAAGTGTAGAATCAAACTGCACACCAAGATTACGAACAATAGGTGAAGCGGCGATCTTTGTGGTGCCTATCATGATTTCTGTCAGGCTCTGTGCTTTGCTAAAACGAGAGGTGAGGTGCATAAACTGTGACTTACGCTCATTCAAAAACAAATTGTTTGAGATTGACCAGCTTTTAATCTTTTGGAAACAAGAAATGACCTTTCCAAGTGCCTGATCTCTCTGAGACTGATGACAGGTGACATACAACTGGACATCGTCAGCGTAAATCATACAGTGAACACTAGATTTCTCGGCAATCTTTGCAATTGGCGCAGAATGCAGCATACAAAGCAAAGGGCCTAATACGGATCCCTGAGGAACACCAACTTCTAGTTGTCGTGAAGTAGATGATGTTCCTTGGATCGTGACTGACTGCGACCTTCCACAGAGATACGAAGACACCCAGCTAAGAACTTTGCCACCAACAGCAAAATCCGATTCTAGGCGTTTAATTAGTGTTGCATGATGGACCGTGTCGAATGCTGAAGAAAAGTCCAGCAGAAACAACATTGCTTCTTGACGTTTATCAAGCGCTCCCATTAGATCATTCTTAACACGGATTAATGCTGTTTCAGTGCTGTGGTACGGACGGTAAGCTGATTGACAGCTTGGTAGAAGTTTATTTTTAGTAAGGTAAGTTTGTAGTTGTGTATTTACAAGACGCTCAAGTATTTTTGACAAATATTGTATGTTTGATACAGGACGATAATTGGTGAGTACTTCAGAGTTGAGACTTGACTTTTTTAGAATTGGTGTAATAGATGCTGTCTTTAGTGCATATGGAAAAACACCAGAACTTAAGCTTAAGTTAACAATTTTTGTGACAACTGGTAAGAGCAGATGTAAAGCTTCTTTTAAGATAGATATTGGTAAAGGGTCAAGGTCGCAGGACTTATTATTAGATGATAATATGGCCTTGCGAACCTCTTCCATATCAACATTTTCCCAGTCATCTAAGGTAGGCTTAACTTCTGATCCGCTTCTGAACTTGTTCAATTTTCTACTCTTTCCCCCGGGCGCCAAAACCTCAAGCTACGCCTCTGTCAAAACCCAGTTTACGCAACAAACGTTGCGAAAGTCAATTAAAAGCAGTAAAACAGTTAAAACAGCAGAATAAAATTCATGATGGAATACTGGTAGTCTTTTACTCTTACCATGGACCTATAAATCCATGTTCTTACTATGGCTGATCTGTATGTAAGGTTGACATCGCTTTTCAAAAGATTCTCTCTCTTTTTTTTAATGAAATCAAATCAATCAGATAAAATGTCCCATAAGCATATTAGTATAGTGAAAAACAGGGCCCCCGTGACCATTTTTCGGGGACCAAGGTTTCTCTGCTGATTTGACTTCACTAGAGTATAAATTTAAAAAAATGAGCGGGGGTGAGCCTCCAGAAAAAGGGCGGAACATGGTTTTTGATAATGGCTCATAACTTTACTTTAACTCGATGAAAAAGTGTAAATCTGGTGTCTAACTATTTGTTATTATGATCACTGAATTTAATGAGACATGTTTCAAAAACCTAGGATGGCAGCCATTTTGAAATTCAAGATGGCTGCCATAAAATTGTCAAAAAATGAAATATTTCAGTATAATTCCACATCATCTCTATGAAAAATGGGAAACTTGGTTCTAATCATGTTTTGAGGCTCTCTGAGTCCAATAAACATAGTTTCAAAAAGCTGGGATGGCAGCCATTTTGAAATTCAAGATGGCTGCCACAGAAACTGTCGAAAATCAAAATACTTTGGTATGTAATTCCAATTCGCCTCAATCAAAAATGGTAAATTTGATGTCTAATCACATATTATTGTGCCCTCACAGTTCAATAAACATGGCTTCAAAAGCTAAGATGGCAGACATTTTGAAATTCAAAATGGCCGCCACAAAAACTGTCAAAAATCTAATATTTTGTATGTGTCACCTCGTTTTGAGAATAGACAATTGACACGTTAGCCTAGTGACTGCGCACACACATACACTACACGTACAAGTGAATAATAGTCAACATAAAAACATAGTTATAAATTCAAATAAGGTGTTTAATAAAATAATATGTCGAACATTCAGTTCGCATCATAATACCCTGCGCTATACACAGATGAGAAGCCAAACATGTGACGTTCTCCCGGGTCACTACTTGTCACACCACACAAGTTGGTTCTGAATGAAATAAATATCAGCTCTTACTTCAGCTGCTTGAAACCTTCAATTTCTTCTTAAGTCTTAAGCCTGTCGTTGGAGTTCAAGCTGTACTCCTCTGACCATCTAAAAATTAACAAAATACACCTTTCTAGAATAGTTATCCTAAACAAACATCATTTCAAGCATTCTGGAACATGATTAACTTTCACATTAATAAAATGGTTAATCTATAGCTTTATGCTACCAATATGCTGTACAATTGTATACATACGCCCATGATAAGTGTACAGTAAGTATTAAAGACGTCTAAATATCAATACACAATATTACTTGCATAGATCCAAAGTCAATCTAAGCATATTACATTAATAATGCATACCACAGGTACATTCAACATTCCTGCATTAATTCAACCCTATGCAATATTGCCATTAAATCTATCCCATTACGTTATTCAGTAAACAATTAACGTTACTCACGGTCAAACTAACTCCACTTGGCTCTTATATATGAGTTGCACAATACTGTGATGCTCCTAGCTATCACCATATATCATTTAGGTAGGCTTCACTATGCCTCTTAACTTTGCTTAATCTTTGGTGCACCTTAATAGCTGACACGTCCCTGCTTGGATCATATTCCACAGCTTACACCCTTCCATTAAGCCTTTCCTTATGCAACTACCTCTCCCTTCTGGTTTCTCTACCAAGCCTACCCCTGCTAACACAAATTAACATAATATTCCCCCACCCATTTTCTCTACACTTATCAGAAGTTGCCACTTGCTTAAAAGTTATTCATATTCATGAAACTTTCTACTACCCTGGAGTAATGCTAAATTAACCATTAACTCATGCGTATTCATTACACTGATTCTACACAATGAACACAAACAACCATTAAGTCATGAATATTTATTACGCTGATGCACTATTCAGTGAGTGTAACGCATTATAAGGTCCACTCTGTGACAGTATGTAATTCCACTTCTCAATCAAACACGTTAAATTTGGTGTCTAATCATATGTTATTGTGCCCATGAGTTCTATAAACATGCTTTTAAAAAGCTAGGATGGCAATCATTTGGAACTTCAAGATGACCGCCACAACAACCGTTGAAAATCGAAAATTTTGTTATGTAATTCCACTTCTCTTCTATAAAAAAAATTGCAAATTTGGTGTCTAATCATATGTTATTGTGCTCTCTGAGTTCAATAAACATGGTTTCAAAAAGATAGGATGGCAGTTGTAGTGTACTCAAAGTTGTATATCGCCCTCTATTATTGTAAGAGCAGAGAAAGTTCGAGTTGGTTGTGATGGTTGTTGAATATGGTGGATAATAAAGACAACCGGTTTGGATTACTTAGATATGGCTTTGTTGTTCATTTGTCTCGGTGAGTGAATGAGAGACATGACATTGGCGACGAGGATAAACCTGGATATATATAGATAAACGCCGGTGTATAGAACAGAAGAAATATGGCTGTTTCTACGACGTTTAGTGAAGATTTGCCAAGGTTAGATTTAGATGCGGAGCCCACCACTCTGCCTACACCGTGGCGTGAGTTTAAAACGGCAATAGGCTATTTGATAGCTGCCAAGGGCATTGTCAATAAAAAGAAGCTGTACTGCTGCATGCCGGTGGAGTAAGACTCCAACATATATATTTATCTTTGCCTGACGAAGGGGAAGTTGAGGGCCAGCAGCAATTGAACGCATACGATAAGGCTATTAGGAAACTGGATAAATATTTCACCCCCAAAACTAACGAACCATATGAACGTCACAAGTTTAGGAAAATGGTGCAAGAGACTGGCGAAACCATAGCCTCTTTTGTCGCCAAGCTAAATAGGCAGGCTACTTATTGTAACTTTGGTGCAGATACCAGCACCCATGTGAGGGACCAGTTGATTCAGGGCTGTACTGCTCCACGGCTTAAAAAGTTATTACTGGAAAAGGGGAATGAACTTACCCTTCAGAAAGCCATGGGTATAGCAAGTTCGTACGAACTAGTGATGCTTCAGTCAGCTGAGATGAAACAGAGCTTAAATGTGAATAGATTGATGGTGAAGCCTACTGGTAATCATCAGGAACCTCCAAAAAGTACATGCTGGAAATGTGGAGCACAGGGACACTTTGCAAAAGATAAGGTTTGCCCAGCAAGAGGAGCAAAGTGTAGAACATGTGGTGAAGTTGGACATTTTTCAGTTGTTTGTAAGAACAGAGGGAAAAAGGGTGACTTATCAACATAAAGGCAAACAGCCAGGGAGAAAGAAATGTGATAAGGTATTTAATGTTGATGATATTGATATGTCTGATGATCATGAAATATTTACAATTGCAGTAAATTTTACATCTGATGATGAGCCAGTATATAAAGCAAATATTGGTGGCCATTTAGTGGATGTTTTAATAGATTCTGGGTCCCCGTGTAACATAATTGATAGGCAATTATGGGAAAAACTAAAGAGAAAGGGGTTAGACTGCAAAAGTGAAGTAGTCAATAAGAGTTTGAAACCATATGGTACACAAAATACTGTCGGTGTAAAAGAAAAGTTTTGGACGTCAGTACAGGTCGGTAGTCGTAAGGTAGATAATGTGCCATTTCTAGTTGCAGAAGAACAGGGTAGACCATTATTGGGCAGGAAAACCTCAATAGGGTTGCGGGTTCTAAGAATTTCGCTGCCAGTAAATTCCATTGAAGATGACTACAGAGAGGTATTTAGTGGTAAAGTGGCAAAATTGACAGACTACCAGGCTGAGTTACATGTAAAGACAGATGCAAAGCTAATTGCTCAGACTTGTAGAAGAATACCGTCACGTCGTTCGACAAGTACTCGCGAACTGTGAGGGTTGTCAAAATATCGCTGATGATATTGTAGTTTATGGCCGTAGTACACAAGAGCATGACTTAAGGCTGAGAAAGGTGTTGGAAACCCTAAGGAGCAGAGGGCTAACTCTAAACCGAGAAAAATGCATGTTTACATGCAGTGAAATAGAATTCATGGGACATCTGTTGCCACAAAAGGTGATTGGCCCAACAGAGGCCAGGGTAAGGGCATTAAGAGAAGCCAGAGAACCAAAAGATAGCAGAGAAGTGAGAAGTTTTCTAGGGTTGGTGAACTTTAGTGCTAGGTACATTCCCGACTTGGCTACCAAAACTGAACCACTTAGGCGGTTGACGAAAAAGGATGTTCCATTTAAATGGGAAAAGGAACAACAAGATGCATTTAATGCCCTACGAAATGTGTTGGTAGAAGACACACTAGCATATTTTAATAATTCTGATAAGTTAAGGGTAGTCGGGCTTGGGGCGGTGCTCCTTCAGCTCCAGGAAGGTGACTGGAGACCTATATGTTATGCTAGTAAAAGCCTTTCGGAGACGGAGAGAAGGTACTCACAAACCGAAAAGGAAGCGTTAGGCCTAGTATGGGCAGTGGAGAAATTTAATATGTACCTTTTTGGAAGGGAATTTGAGCTGGTCACAGACCATAAGCCATTAGAAGTAATTTACACGTCAAAATCCAGACCTAGTGCAAGAATCGAAAGATGGGTGTTGCAGTTGCAACCATACAATTTCAGGGTAATCTATAGACCGGAAAACAAGAACATAGCTGATTCTTTGTCACGTTTAATACAGCAAAAGAATGACGAACTGCCATTCGACGATACGGACGAGTATGTCAACTTTGTGTCAGTCAAAGCAATTCCCAAAGCTATGACAATGGATGAGATCGGAGAAGCGTGTGCAAATGATGAGAAGATTCCTGATATGTATGAGTGTGTTGCGACTGGGAGATGGGAAGTGTCCAGAATATTGGCACGTAGCACAAGAGTTGTGTGTAGTAGGAAAACTAGTAATGAAGGGGACAAGAATTGTTGTACCAAAGAGTCTGAGGTGGACTATAAGAGTTTGTAAAGAAATGTCCGGGCTGCCAGTTGGTAGGACAAGTGGAACCACCAGAACCTTTAATGAGTACTGAGCTTCCGGATGGTCCATGGAGATCGGTAGGAGTAGATTTTCTGGGACCATTACCAACAGGGGATTACATTCTCGTCGTTGTTGATTATTACAATAGGTTCTATGAAATAGACATTATGAGAAGTACAACAGCTGATAGAACTGTACGTTCACTAGAAGTTATGTTTGCGCGACATGGCTTACCGCAAGTCATTGTCAGTGACAGTGGCCCACAATTCATATCAGGAGAGTTTAGAGACTTTCTGGAGGTAAATGGAATTAAGCATCAGAAGGTGACACCGAAATGGGCACAAGCAAATGGGGAGGTTGAACGTCAGAATAAATCAATCTTGAAGATATCGCATACTATGAAGAAAGATTGGAAACGAGAGCTTACACGATATTTGGCTGTGTATAGAACGACTCCTCATCCTTTAACAGGCAAGACACCTGCTGAATTGCTAATGGGTAGGGCCTTAAGGACCAAATTACCAGAATTAGAGAGAGTGATTGTAGACGAGGAGGTTAAAGATAGAGATCTGTTGCTGAAGTGGAAATCAAGGCAGTATGCGGACGTGAAACTTAGCGGACGTCACAGCGATGTTAGACCAGGAGATAGTGTTCTTCTTTGCCAGGAAGCGAGAGACAAGTTCTCGACAAAGTTTGAACCTAGAGTGTATGACGTAGTTTCTAGATATGGTAATCAAGTCACTATAAGTGATCGGAATGATGCCAACAGGCGTCGTTGGAAACGAAATATTACACATGTGAAGAGGTTTTATGGTAGTAGACCACAAACAGATGACGTCACAGTTGAGGATACGGCACTCGATGACTTAATGGAAACTGTACATGAGGAGGGTCCAGCAATGAATGAGACCCAAAATCCAGAACCGCAAAGGAGGTATCCTCTGTGTATTAAGAAGAAACCGGATAGACTCGATTTGTAAAGATGACGAGAGTAGTAGTAGTGATTAAAAATGTTATGTTATAATAGTTTGTAAAGATGTTGTTCAAGAGTAGTCGAAGTGATTTATGATGCTGTTATGTTGGTTAAAAAAAATTCATACACACAGATATAGTATACAGTATATGGTAATTATGTTAACTATCATTATAACATTGTGAAGTAGATAACGAAAAAAAAAACCAGCACTCACTTTTCAGAATAAGGTTTATTGTAATAACATAATTTGCAATATTAATGCATATTGGTTTGGTAGACTATTTACAGTTTGTTTCAAAGACTTGCAGTACATGCTTGTAAAAGGTTTAACGGTTTTCATTTAATTTTTGAATTCTTTGTTAAGCTATTGTTGGATAGAGTAGTCTGAAAAAAGGAGGGATGTTACTTAGTGTACTCAAACTTGTATATCGCCCTCTATTATTGTAAGAGCAGAGAAAGTTCGAGTTGGTTGTGATGGTTGTTGAATATGGTGGATAATAAAGACAACCGGTTTGGATTACTTAGATGTGGCTTTGTTGTTCATTTGTCTCAGTGAGTGAATGAGAGACATAACAGCAGCCATTTTGAAATTCAATATGGTTGCCCCAAAAATCATTGAAAATCAAATATTTTGTTTGAATATTTCCACTTGACAAATGAGTAGGCTCGAATGTGCTGAAGTACTGAATCTTTGTCTGGTGGCAATCTTGCAAGTGACTTGCATTTGCTCACCCTTGGCTCTGTTGTGGTTTAGCTTTTGAAATCATTGTATATAAGCTTTTAGCAGATTTTTTGCCCCTTCAGTCGAAGAAACGTATTGAAACGTTTTCCATATCCAAAAAAAGTAGAGTTTCTATAACAGCCGGT